AACTCGAACCATCCAACAGACTTTGAGATCGGCCAAGGACAAACGGGATCCTTTATCAGCACCAGGAGTCTACAGAGTTCCGTGCAGCTGTGGAAAAGCATACATGGGCACCACAAAACGAAGCATAAACGAAGTTGCAGATTGGGACAAACAGAAAAATCAGCAGTAGCGGAGCACGCACTGCTAGACGGCCACCAAATACGCTTCGACGAAGTGGACATTCTGCACCAATCGGAAATATACTACCCGAGACTCACCAGAGAGGCCATCGAAATACCAAAACAACTTTAACAGAAAAGAAGAAATTACGGCACTCAATCCAGATTGGAAGCGCGTTTTGCGCCAAACAGCATGTGCGCCGAAGCATTTGAACCCCCACCCATCCCCCACGCATGAGCACACACGGCTGGGCTGCATAAATACGACGGGGAGTCCAGCAGTTGAACCGGTCTTAGTCGGAAAGCACGAGAGACTACTTCGCCCACTGCCTCATCGCCTTTGATTATGTCCACCGCAGTTGTGGACGAAACGTCAGGAAGAAATTCCCATGGACCACGGCTTCAAAGCCCGGAAAACATTCCTAAATGCGATTTAACCGGCCGTGAAAGCCTTCATAGTCTGATAACCCCTTTATTCCCCACTGGACCACTCACTCACCTCTATGTTGTCTGAGTCGTACTTAATCCCCCGCTTAAATCTACCATATAGCGACGAATAAGGCAAGTTGTAGTGGATGGCTGCTTGATTGATGGACATGTGGCCTAATCTGCAAAGACACCGCGGGAATTAACTGCATTTCTTCAGTAGTCTCGATTGATGTGCTGGGGCCTACCTGACTGCTTCCAGAGCCTCCCCCATAGCGTCCTCCGACCAGGGAGTAGGATTGGATCGGGAAAGTTCGATGCCCTCTCGTTTGCACCTCCCATACAACGTCCCCGTTGGGATCCCGAACTCGGTGGAAGCCTTTTGGACGGACGTTTGACCTGAATTCGCCCCCGATCAGCACCTCCAGCGACTCAAAACAGCAAGCAATCACAATTACCTGTTCGTATGGACTCCAGCGCCTTTTCCAAGTCTTCGGGCGTCCACGTGGTGGGTGCTGCGTTGAAAGGCGCGGCCAGTCTTATACCTTCTCGTCTCGCTATTTTGTACAGAGTGCTGCTCGGGATGCCTAAGCAAAATCAAGAGAGGAAAGGCTTTGAACTTTCACCTGTACTGCTCTACCTACTTACCATAAGCTTTGCTGGCCTTATTGGCCGAAATGGTGCCCGTGCGCAGGGCCTCCAAGGCGTTGTTGAGGTTCTCTTCCGTCCAGGACTTAGTGGGGCCCTCCTTTTTGGGCGTGTCGATCCCCAGTCGGTGGGCGCGTTGCCAAAGAGTCGTTGACGGGATCCCATAGGTGGCTGACGCCTGAAAAACGTCCAGGTTACCGAAAATTGTGGCCTACAACCAGATAATTTACCTTCGTCAGGCTCATGTTGTGGTTCTTCAACGCGTCGAGTGCCATGTCCATGTCGTCTTGCGTCCAGGTCTTCGGGCCACCTCCGCTATGAGCTCGCGCGCTTTGGTGCTCACTGTGGCCGTTTGTTTTCAGCCCCGATAGATCGCCATTATCCCCACACTCGCTCACTTCTGCACATATTTGGGCAAAATAAGGCCGCTTCTGAGTAGATCCTACCTATCCTGTTGTGCTCACCTATCCTGTTGTGCATCCCCGTTTGCAGCGGCGGATTGTACTCAGAGCTCATCAGGTTGGATCGATGCAGCTCCCCAAGGTCTTCCGAGCCGATCGAATGATCCCCACTCATATGCGAGTCCATCTCCAACAGACTGTCCTGCTCGAAGGACCGCAACGTCTCGAATTTGACCTGCAAAGGCAAGCGTGCAGGATTTGCCTCTATTGGTTGCCACCAGCCACTCACGTCTGATTCCTTCTTGATTTCGGCCGCATATTTGGTGGTGGCATCCGATAGGTCGGTGCGATGAATGGGGACATTTGTTAGCATGGTGGCCGTGTGGTCCATATCGACGTGCCCAACCGGGATGGCTGATGGCGCGGGCGGCTCTGGGGGGAAATCGTCGGTGTCAAAGGGAGAAAACATGGCCTGGAACCAAAAGAACCAGTTGCACCCTACTAACAGCTGGTTGATTGGGCAGTGGGTACCTGGCCTGCCATGAGTCCATGACCGCTCATGTTGCGATCAGTTCCAGGGCCACTTTCCTTCTTGTACTCATTAAGGGCTGGAAAGGGGAATGTGCTGTCGGGGTTGACCGGAAGAGGCAGGAAGCTTCCTATAGGCATGACATGATCAAGTGCCAACCAATCGCGTGTCCTGGATATTCAGTGTCTGCAATGGGCATATACAGAGTGTTGCTTGAAGAAATGCCAATTTTCCTTGTGTGTGTTTATATACACGGTGTAGGCCTGGGTAAGTCAGTGAGTTTTTAGGAGTTGGCGCAGTGATGCGCAAATGGCTTGGTGCGCCAGCCCAGCGCACCGGTGCAGTAACTCAGTTCTGTTGCTGGGAAAATGTTGATGACGTTTTTTTGGATTTATTTTAAAGGCCATTTATTAATATTATTCTTAAAATGTCTTCAAATTTCAGAATTTTTCAGTTTTCGGCAAGTTCTCCCTTTCTTCTAAATGCTCAATTTTCTAATGACAATCTTAAGGTGTTTTCCGCAAAAAATTATGAATCCCTTTCCAGCTGCGAATTTGGAACAAAAATCAAACATTTTTCTATCAAAAAACAAACAGAACAAGTTTATAACCGATTATTCGGAGATCTCGTCACCCCCATTCCTCTGAAGACCGTAGAATTTGTTAAAAAATGTGGTTTTTTAGTTTCGACTGAATTTTTTTGCTTCACTTTCTACTCAAAAACGCTCTTTTTTGTACAGTTTCACTTCAAAATACTGACGATCTGGAGGACTTTTACGCAAAAAATTACAAGATAAATTTATAGCTTTGTAAAAAATTTACAAAAATTTATTTTAGTGTCGAATTCGGGACAAAAACGAAAATAAATTCCTACCATTTTTTCCCGAAACCCATTAAGGTTTTCTCCAAAACCGATCACAAAACTAAAAACGCAAAAACGCATTATTTTCTGATGATTTTTTTTTTTACAAATACAATATAGGGGTGTTTTCAGTCAAGAATTACAAAATTAATTTTGCAAGAAAATTCGCCCCATTCATCGGTTTGCAGAGAACGTTAGAAACCCCTTTTCAGCTTCGAATCTGGCACAAAAACTAAATAATTTTATTCAGTTTTGCATCGAAAGTGATTAGGGCTATCTTAAAAAAACGATCAGAGAGCAAAAGTTTACAAATCATTATTAAGAAAATTCGCCGCCCTCATCGCACTGAAGATTTCTGAAGTTTCTTTAAATTTTCAGGTCATTTCAGTTTTAGCAAAGTTTTTATTAAGCAATTCTTTCTACGCAAAAATCGCATTGATTTTGAGTTTTACTTAATACTGGCAATCTTCAGGTATATTCTGTAAAAAATTATAAGATACATTTTATTGGGACTCTTGCCTCCTTAACCGCTTTGCAAAAACGTTCGAATTACGGACAAAACCCCAATAATTATTTCTGGGTCCAAAAATATTTCCCCGAACTGCAAAAGCGAAACTTTATAATCKTTTATTTGGAAAACKCTTGGAAACTGGAGTTTCTTCACWTTTAGGTCAATATTTCTAAACAACACCGTCTCTAAACACAAAAACCGCGTTTTTCCTAACGTTTTACTGTAAAATACTGGCAAACTGAATCTTTTMTGCCAAAAAATTGAGAGATCGATTTTACAAGAAAACTCGTCAACTTTCCTTGGACTCAGTTCTGTTGCTGGAAAAATCTAGATGATTTTTTTTAGTTATTTGAACAAAGTACTAAAACGTTACTCAGAAAAAATGTTAATAACCCTTTTTTAGAAGTGAAAATTGCAGTGTCGGGTCTCGTAAAGCTTTAATAAATTACTTATAACGCATTAACCGATGAGTTATAACTCGTTAACTCAGACAGCGACATCAACCCAATAGTGCAACTCAACACAGTGTTACCCGCAAGGGCGG